TTGGGGCTGAGGGTCAGATCCCAGCTGAGTGCACCAGCTGGTGAGGAATGCTCGCCCAGGACTTGAAGCCCTGTAACACACACCCACAGGTCTGGGGACAGCACAGCCTCCTCACCTGCTGGTGTGATGTTCCTTGCAAGCCAGAATATAAAGGAGATGGCAGGACGTCCTAGAGGTGGGATGGAGAGTGTCTGCAGGTGTGCACAGGCACACACGTGTGTGAATGGAAGGGTGCACATGCACAGGTACCTGGGTGTGCAAGGGCACTGGTGTGGGTGTGAGGATGTGAGTGAGAGCTTGTAGGTGTGCACTGGCAGGCGAGTGTGTGTACAAACAAATGCCAGCACGCACAGGTGGGTGACTGGACCCGAGGCTTGCATGTGGGCACGGAGCAGATGTGAGCAGATACGTGTGCAGAGATGGATGTGCACAGGTGTGCAGGTGCTGTGCATGGCTGTACACCGGATCCTGCCCATGTCTTGGTGTCTCGTGCCAGTTTTTCCAGAACTCCAGTCACGAGTGCACTGCTGAGTCTATCTTTGTAGGAGAAGCTTTTCCAAAGCCCTCTTGGGCATTACAGAAATGATTTTTAAGGGAGAAAGAGGAGGTAAGAGCTGCTTATCCTAGTGCAGCCTTTGGAGGTGTCCAACAGAGTTGTTGAGCTATTTATCTGCTTGGAGAAAAATCCATGTGTGTGTGTGTGTGTGTGTGTGTGTGTGAATGTGTGAGAGAGGATCCATTTCCGTACAGCAAACAAACCCCAGCTCTGCTTTCCAGCTAAATAAGGGACTTAGGAGTCACTGGCTACCTGCTTATCTTTGTGGCTTCCCAGCAATCTGGGAGATAGCAAGAAGTCCTATGGAGCTAGCAGAATAAACCATGAAGTGGCACTTGCTGTGGACCCACATGTGCATGTCGTGTGTCCAGTAGCTGGATGCAGACACTGGGCAGTATTTCAAATTACATGCTGCAGAGTTTGTTACAAGAACAAAAAATCCTGTACCAATACCTACATTCTTGAAGTGCACAGCAGACTAGGGTAGTATTACCCTGTATGAACCAAAACCCAACTCCTTCAGTAAGAAGCTGCCTCACCAGTAAGGCTCTGCCTTCTGGCTCGTGGGAAGCTGCAGCTGGGAATGGATTTTCCTGTCAGATATTCCAAAAGGCAGTGATGCAGTTCAGTCACCTCTGGGGCTGTGTCTCTCTGTGCCATGCCAACTCCGTGCCTCCAGAGGGCAAAGTCAGATCGTGCTTCGCTTTCCACTCGTAGAGGATGGGGAATGAAAGAGGTGTGTGCTGAGGAGGGATGGTGTGCTGAACAGCTGCTTTTGCCCTCCCTGCTGGTGATGAAAATCCTTTCCCAAGTAAGCACTTTCCTTGGCAGAGCCCAAAGCAGAGTGAAATGGATACCCAAACAGCATGTGCTGGCTCTTGTCTCTTCTCCTTTCCACATCACACAGCTTAAACTGTGGTGCCAGTATTTGTGAGTGGAGTGGGAGTTGTATAACATGATGCCCTGGAGACTACTCTCAATCTGGTATTCTCCATAAACCTATTTAAAAACACTTTTAAGTCTCTACTTTGGGAGCAGGAGCATGTCCCATTTTAAGCATTGGTGTCTCTTTTGAGTAGCAGTTCCCATGGGGAGGGAACTATGGGGAACATGAAACTCCAGCTCACCCACTTGGATCTTAGATTGCAGATCTCCTCCACCTGTAAGTCAAGTGGTGCCTGTTGCTGGAGCAGAACAGTTGGTGTTCGTGTTTGTGAATCATTGTTTTCTCTTTTGCTTCCATCATGCTGGAGGAGGGACAAGAGTAAGTAAGATGGAAAACACCATGCATTGATTAAACCTGTTCATAATAGAGTTCATAATACAATCAAAAATGTATGATATCTACGTAGTATTACCCATACCAAATCTATCACTTGAACTTTCTTTTGGCCTCTGGGACAAAGTTTAGAGTTACCGTATTTTCTGTCTAAATTTCTCAGCTCAGATCCTGCCAACACTAAGGTCTGCATCCTTCAGCTGGACAAAGAGGTCATTGATTGTGAGACCACTGCACCGCAGAGCTGTACCATGCACGAGGGCACTGTGCCTTGGCCTCTCAAGAATGGAGTTTATTAGTACTGGTAGCTGCTAGAGAATTACCCCAACCAAAATCCCATCTGCTTGGATCTCCAGAGCAATTTCCACCCATAGAAGAAATCCAGTTCACTCCCCACACATCTGTCATATTACAAACCACACCACTGAGATCCCTCAAGGGTAGGCTATGGAGACACCCTGCTCTTCGTGAGTCCTATGACCTGAGCTGCTTCTTCCACTTCAACCAAACAAGGTGAAGTGGACACTAAATGTGTGGGCAGCCCCTTCATGTGCAACACATTGGTAGTGTTGTTTCTACATCAGAATTCCTCTCCTCTCTGAGGTGAGAAAAAGTTTTACCTTTGTGCCCCAGGAACAGCAGGGCTGTATTTAATGTGCTCCAAGTTAAGGGTCTTAATGTCTCCAAGTTAAGGCAAAATCAAAATCCCAGATAATATTGGCTGAATGCAAATCAAGTGAGAGCACATACCCATGGCACAGCCACTACCCCAAGCTCAGCTGTCTATCATGGAATGGCAAGTTCGTGGTTTTTATTGGCTGTGTGTTTGGTGCCAGGACCTTGCTTTTAGAAGTGTGGAGAGCATCAGAGCCAGACACATTATGATACTTTGTGACAAGGAGCTTAACCCTACCTGCAATTTGTGGTTAAGATCTGAGAGGGGACCATAAGCCTGAGCCTTCTGGAATAAGACATGTCATGGCTTGGCATCATTCATGCACTTTCAGAGCACATTCCACGAAGAAGTATCCAAAGTGACTGATCTTAAGATATTTTGCACCTAGCTGTGGTTAACAGGAGACAAGAACAGGGAGGTGATTGCATTTTGGAAACACTTTGTGGCTAGATTGTGATATGGGGACCAAGCCTCTGGGGGAGAATGATGTGCCGCTGAACATGGAGTATGACCATGTGGCAGAAGAAAGGCTGGAAAACAACATACCACAAGGATACTGCATATTTTCACCAGCTGTTCACTTGCATAGTGGGGGTAAAATTTCCCCTTCCATCAGTGGCCTGGTTGTTTAGTGTCAGTGCTGTTTTTCCAGATTACTGTGGCTTCTCATCCATTGTTGAGTTTTCTATGGGAACTTGGGGTTCCTGGGGGGAAAGAATTGCTTGCTGAATCACACAGATATAGCCAGGTTCGTGTGGGAGACTTGAGTTAGCTGTTGTGGTCATTCTTCTGTAGAAAAAACCCAAAACATCATGGTGGCATTAAAACAGTCCATGTCTCAGACCAGAAATTGGGGCAAGAGCCATGGGCAGTCTTAGTCTCCATCCAGCATGGTTCCACCTGGGCAGGGCACCAAGCATGCTTGACTGACAGCCCAGCAGCTCCCCTGGCTCTTGGAGGGAAACAGGATCTGCAGCAGGTGAGCTGCAACAGGGGCAGGTGCAGGTGGGCAGGGCAGGCTCTCTCAGAGCTGAACACCACCTCTGACCATTCCCTTGGGACCCTGCCCCACTCGGGAATTCGGTGTGAGCAGCAGAACGGCAAAAGGATTGGCTGTACAGCGTGGGAGATGGGCAGGATTGGTCCTCTAGCGCTGAGCTAGAGGGAGCAGCTGACACAGGAAGAGGCAAGGCCCCAGCCTCGAGGGACCACCACAAAAGGGAGCACCACAAAAGGGAGCACAGGACTGCTGGAAAGCTTGGGGAGCCCAGCCAGGGGAAGATGCAAGTGGGGCCTTGCTGCAGAGGCTCTGGGGAGCACCGTGCACGGGGCTGGACACAAGCCAGGAGTGACTCTTGTGGCAAGTGAGGTACACTCTGTACTGGGATTCCTGAGGAGGAGCACAGCTTGTCAGGCAAACCGAGGTCTGTGCCAGCACTCCTAAACAGTTAAACATGGAAGCTTGCTGTGCACACTGGCAGTGAGAGCCTCATTTAGCTCAGACATGGAGCCACAACATGAGGCTATAGAAAACACCTCATGTGCTGTGGGCAGCAAGGAGCAGGCACCTTCTTAGTGGAAGCAGTGTGGATGCAGCCTGAGCTGGATGGGCCATGACATACTCATTTGTTCTCCTGCTGAAGGAGAATTTAGAGTTGGTTTTCAAGAGAATAAGCTGCCCATTCTTGCCTTTGCATCACCAAGATATCACTGGGACTAGCGCAGATCCATCAGATGCTTCAAAAAGGAGGAGCTGGCTTTTTCTGGAAACATGCAAAGCAGAGTCAAGCTACTTCTATAAGCTGAAAATCACTTGCTATCCTTTTTGGGGTTTTTTTTTTGGTTTTTTTGCGTGCAGGTGTTAGAAAGTTTGCATGGCTCTTGTTCCCCTGAAGCCTGTGAATTTCAGCACCTCATGAAAATCTTCCGGATGGGTATCTTTGAATAGCTGTCAGACATAGGTGGCATGGAAATAACTTCTTCCTATTTTGTCTATCAAATGCCCTATTTGGGCAGTCATTCAACAGTTTTGAGAGGCTGAATCTCTGGCAGGATGAACATATTGCTGCTCAGTATTTCCCAGGTACCCTGCTGGGACCGGTGTGCTCTGCTGTCTCACAGCAGGTGTCACTGGCATCTGACAGAAACTCCTACTGAGGGCCCTCAGGGTCAGAAGGACCCTGGGGCTGGTGGACAGGAAGTGTCACCTGATGAAAAATTTTTTTTAAGACAAATTACTATTTGCCAGAGTAGCAATTCTTCACAGCTGTGAGTGAAGCATGATGCTTGATAGACAATGATAGAATACAGCGGTTTAGAGGGAATTGTTAATTGTTTGCTTCGGAAGCTGGGAATTAGTGATTTAAGTACAATTAATTAATTAATTTCCACATTGTAAACAAAATATATTTGAAAATATCCTGCTTTACTTCAAAAAGCTATGTGGAAAGAAGTAATATTTGTTTTCTGTTTTCTTTTTTGCAGACAGAACCACATCGTCCTGGACACTGGCTTTTTCTAAGTCACATTTAAGCGAGGGATAGAGAGGGGACAGGTCATTGTGGCCAAACTGTAAATTTCACAGTGCAGGTGAGAGAAATTTCTTGGTGTTCTCTGTTGGCAGCGTTCCTCATGTTGTTTCACCCAAATATGGATATTTAAAACTCTTAACAAATTGCAGTGGCGATGCCCTATAATTTACTAACCAATTCCCTATCCCAAGACATGCCCTGCACTGTGGTCCTTGCAGAGCACTTTGCTCGTGGTCACGGACACTGCATCAGCCAAGGAGGGAGACAAAGGGAAGGAGCAAAGTAGATGGGAGCAGTGGGGTAAGACTGGGAACACACGAAGGAGGGGAAAGAGAAGTACCGTGGAAAAGCAAGGAATGTGGAGAGAAAGGGTTGGGGGTGGAGCTGGAAGAATATGAAGAGCCTTTGCGGGAACACTCCTTGGGAGGTTTGTTTGGTGGAGAGGATCTTGTACGGGTAGACAGAAAAAAGCTCACTTAAGTTTGATCTCCTCTGAATCTTGGAGTCAAAGGCTCTCAGCATCACTTTGGTACAAGCGAAAAATCATGAAAAGTAATGTCACAGCTTTCTAGGACTGGTCTACACAGACCACGAAAAGGTGCTTTTTTGTTCCCTTTTTTTTTTTTTATTTCTTTAAAGCAAGGAAAATCACTGATTAAACTGTACTACTGAGCATTATTAAACAAAACACTTGTTGCCCTTCCCTGGAAACTGCAGCTTTTAGCATGCTTTGCGTGACTCTACTTGATCAACAAAAAATAATCTGTTTTAGTAGGTAGGTTCAGGCACCTACCTACACTTTTTGTGTGCCAAGTTTCTTCTTCGGGGTTTTCTGGGGAAGCCCTTAGCGCCAAAGCAGGTCAGAGGCAGGGCTGGGGAGCAAAGACATGGGGTCAGAGCCTGCAGCAGGGATTGCAGGGAGAGACAAAGGCACAGCCACAGCGTGGCCCTGCGGCTGGAGGCAAAACTCCCAGCTGGAAAACAGCTCCCGGTTAAAGCTGAGTAGCCTCTCTGCGCCCTTTCCTGGCCTTGGGCGCAGCCAGGCGGATGCTTCAGGCTGGCGAGCGTGTGTCAAGCACTGACTGGGGAAAGCAAAGTTGTACTTTAAAAGGCAGAAAAGCTGCGGCATTGTGCGCGCATTGTGTGTGCCCGAGCAGCGCCCAGCGCACCGCTGGATGTCAAAGCACGCCCGGCAGTAGGGAGAGCTGTGAGTACCGCTGCTTTCAGCCGCCGGGGGTTGATGCTGATGGGGGATCGGTAGGACCTCCCCCCCCCGCCACCCCCTCCCACCGTAATTCCATGCCTAAGGGATGTAAATAGTCTTTATTTAAAAAACAAAGTGTAAAGTGGGGATAGTTCGAGCTTATTGGCACTGGCGGACAAAATCTGAATACTTTTACAAAGAGCCCCTGTTTTTTTTTGCCTGGGCCCCTTTGTTCTCCTTGCCTCTCTCTGACCCTCTAGCAATCACCATGGTAATTACCAAGTAATGCCCTATTTACAAGTACCTTCCGAAATCTGCTGGAGTTTTGCTTGAGCCTGTAACAAAAATGTTTCTCCCCAGATGAGAAATCGGGTTATTTCTCAAATTCAAACTTTCTGAAACAAGACTGAAAAGGCAGTGAATAGCTGGCATCCTGCTGAAGTTAACAGATCTGTGGGGATTTACACTAGATAAGCATCTGCCCAGCGTCTGCCCGAGGCAATACCTCTAACCAGAAGTGTGTAGGTCGTGGTAATCGGGAGAGAAAGAAGTGGTTTTATGTTTTGTGCTGCTAATAAAAATAGGCAGTGCACTGCATGTATTTCTGAGGACAGCAGAAAGTTTTCAGCAATCTTTCTGATTTTGGAGAGTCTGGTCTTACTTGCTGTGTGACCAGTTGGTATTTCCCTTGTGAAGCCTGTGCCATAGGACAGGTTTCCCAAAGAGGTGGTGGGATCTCTGTCTGTCGGGCTGTTTAAAATTTGACTTGGTCGTGGCCCTGAAGAAGCTGATCTAACCTGGGTTATAACCATGTTTTATAGGTTTGTGTTGAAGAAGAAACCTTGTCATTTCTGCGGTTCTCTCTGTTCCTGTGCTAAAAAACACGATTTCCAGAAGTTTCTCTCAAAACAGCTCATGTCCTGACAACGATACAGGAAAGTGATCTGAGAACACAAGGAAAGGACTTCTCAAAAACGCCAGGTGCTTAGGTTTTCTTTCTTCCAGCTGGCTCTGATAGTTTTGCTTATGCAGTTTGGGTATTCATATGCAAATCACAGATTTGCCGACCGTGCTGGACCATTATCAGAAAACGGGTCTTACAAGAGATTTAACAATAACTTCCAGGATCATTTCGTGTTTGGGCCCTGGAAAGGGAAGCAGAGCGGCATCATTTTGAGACCTTTGAGATTCCTTCCGCTTTACTCTGCTCTGAGACAATGCAATATTTGCTGTGTGTGAGTGGCCTGGTTTTGGCTGGGATGGAGTTAATTTCTTCAATGGTGGCTAGTATAGGGGGCTGTGTTTTGGATTTGTGCTGGAATAAGTGTTGGAAACACAGGAATGTTTTTGTTGCTGCTGAGCAGGGCTTGCACAGAGCCCAAACCTTTGCTGTTTCTCAAGCACAGGACCACAGAGGGGGCTGGGGGTGCATGCGGAGTTGGGAGGGACGTTGCCTGGATATCTGATCCCAACTGACCCAAGGGATATCCCACAGCATATGGTGTCAAGCACAGCCTAAAAAGCTGGGGGAAGGAAGGAGGAGGAGGCGCGGGGTGGGGAGGTTTGGAGTGATGGCGTTTGTCTGACCAAGTCACCGTGGGGCGTGAGGGGGCCCTGCTCTCCTGGAGATGTGAAACACCTGCCTGCCCATGGGAAACGGTGAACAAATTCCTCGTTTTGCTTTGCTTGTGTGTGTGGCTTTTGCTTTACCTATTAAACCACCTCTACCTCAGTTTTCTTGGTTTTGCTCTTCCAGTTCCCCCCACCCCGTCCCGCCGGGGGGAGTGAGTGAGCAGCTGCGGGGGACGCATTGCTGGCAGGGGTTAAACCACAACAGAGTGTCTTTATTACTTTAAAAAACAGAGAACAAGGGAGAGGTGGAAAATTATATGTGAAAATAATTTTTAAAAATACCGTTTCTTCCTGTAAGAAGTGTTTGTTTAAATGTGAACATAAGAAAAGGTCTGAGGGCAGGGACAGGCTGAGATCTGCTTCCAGTAAGTGAGCAGAAGACTCTCTGGTCCGGACAAGGTGCTAAGCACAGGAGGTACAGGGCTGACCTCTGCCCCCAGCAGAAAGAGGGGGCCTCCAGCCTAAATGCAGGAGATCACAACTAGGCTCAGTGCAGCTTCCCTGATGCTCAGAGAGCAAAACCAGCGCAGTGCACCCCATGGGCAACACACGGAGCCCCCGTTCCTTCCCTCTGGGATGTGGAGCAAAGGGGGCATTGGTGCATCCCCTTGGCTGTAGCTGCCAGCCCAGTGCTGTCAGCAACGCTGTGCCGTGCTGAGGGCTCTGCTGTGGTGGAGACATGGGGTGGTTCTTGCTGGTTCAGTGCAAATAGCTGAGCACTGAAAGTAATTTCTTTCATTCACTTCTTACACATCCTGAATGGGGCGTGTCAGTTTTTTCTCCTCAGAACTAGTCTGGGCAACACTGAGAGAGGAGTAGAAAAATCAGAGCTAATCCTGCAGGAATGAGTCATTCTGGCATAGGATTTGCAGAGCGAGATGAGAAGTTCAGGTAAGACAAAGGGAAATGGAGGCTGTAGTAAAACTGTGGTTTGGAGCATGACAGTTAAACTGCTATGAAGTCAAAGTTGGAAACCCCCTCCCAACAAATTGCTGAACTCAAAACCTTGGCAGTGTCTAGAACAAGTCAATATTCACGCACACTAGTTGCAGAAACTGAGGTTCTTTCCCATGGGACCTGTTTAGGTTGGATTGTTAATTGCCATGGGTCTGGAAAAGAATTACTATTATTTCATTATTATTTTTAATTAAACACAAATAAAAATGGCTGTCCTTTTAATGTTGAGCTTTGAAATATTTACTGCATTTTTTAGCCAGGATTACACTGGCCAAGTCCAAACAGAGAAGCACTGGAATTCTGACAAAGGTTTAAGGTAACTTTCAACCAGATTTCTCTAGCAAGGACAGTGGAGTAGTTTGGGTTAAAGCACAAGCCCAGCCTAGCTATCTGGGCCCAGGAAAGGAAGGCTGGGTTTCTAGAAGCTACAGTAGGCACAGAAATAATTTCCCCCTGCCTCCTTTAAAAGTCTTTTAAATACTTTAGCTTGCTTTCTTCACCTGGTATCTTTGCAGACACATCCACCAGATTGCCGACCCGTAGCTCAAGAGAGCTCACCTCCAGAGCACGAATTAGAGGAAGTAATTTTTCCATTATTATTTAAAACATTTCAACGTGTAAAAAAAAATGTTGGTGTGATTACAGCAAAAAGCTAAAGAATCACAGAGTCACAGAGAAGAGGACACCTTCCCACCCCAGCCTCTCCCACTCGTTAGTAGAGATGTGACACTTGCAGGAGAGTTGTACACTTAGATGAGGATAAAGACTAAGTTTTAAAGGAAGATATTTCTGAAATGCCCAGAACATTGGCAGAAATGTGGTAGCCTTTCAGTAGATGTAGGTCCTGTTCCACAAGCCAGGATGGGAGAAAACCAGCTGACCTTTATGAACAGACCAGCTGAGACCTGCTAGACCTCTGGGTGTTTATGCCTGGCAGGCAGTGAAATGTTGGAGTCCCTGTGGCAGGCCTTTGGCAGCAACAGTTTGTGTGTCTTGTTGCTCTTCAGACATCACCGTGGGCAGATCTGAGCAGCAAAAGGGTCTGTGGCAGCAGCAAACGGAACAAGGCTTGCTGGAGCTGCGAGCCCACCATCCTGGTGGGGATGGGGATGGGGATGGGGATGGGGATGGGGATGGGGATGGGGATGGGGATGGGGATGGGGAT